CTTCCTTGTTCACAGCGGAATAACTGTTGACTGTCAAGACTGTTGTTGGTTGTGATGCATGACTCGGTGAGAGTTCAAAGGTCAATGAGTATGACCAGCTTCGTGAAGTCAATTGACAGGTAAAGAATCAAAGAAATTATTACGTATGGAATTGAAACCTTCCCATGTAAAGAGGCATGAAGAAGCTTTGGCACTGCCCAACAGTGTCGCAAACATAAGGAAACCTGGTGAGGTGACATTCCAGCATTGTAGTCCAGAGGCCCATGTCCTAATCTCATGTAAAGAGGTCAGAATTCAAGGGGTTCCTAAGCATGTTTGATTCAGATAGTGCAGAGCAAAACCTCAACAACCCCAGAACCCCCTTTAATATTAAACTCTGCTTCGTCATGTTCATTTTGGGTCGGTTGGGTAGCCCAGTGGTTAAAGCGTTCGCTCGTCACGCCGAAAACCCGGGTTCGATTCCCGACATAGGTACAATGTGTGAAGCCCATTTCTGGTGTCCCCCGCCGTGATATTGCTGGAATATTGCTAAAAGCGGCGTAAAAACATACTCACTCACTCACTCATGTTCATTTCACTGGTATGTAACTATACTAGGAGAAAAACTATGGATAAACGTATGGACTAAATAATAAACTCCAAAAACAAATTTATGTATAAGGTTGAATAGAAATAATTCTACAAGGAAACCCATTTGTATTTAAAGAATCCACGAGTCTCCTAGCTTCCTAGAACTGAGGAGGGTGATAATGGCAAGGGGTGATTATTTTCTTAAATTCAGAAAATAAGAATTTAAAAAAAATATCAAATTTTGATTAAAGTAATTATTTTTTTCCGCAGTTTGCCCGCCAAAGGCACCTCGTTGGAAATCCTAGACATGTCCCTGCTTGTCATGATGAACGTAACAATGACTACGCTGTTTTATCATGTTTATGAAACTTTGCACATGTTAAGCATGTTTTAAAGGATTAACATAAGTTAATTTATTCCCAAGTTAGGATTTGGAATTCATTATTTATTTTACTGTTGGAGTTGATAAATTCTGAATAACTTCTTATCAAACTTCAGGTTAAAATATTTCATTGTGACCCCTTACCTCGTTTCTGAGGGAGTTATTCATGCATAAATGTGATGTGCATTGAGAATAGACTCCAATAAATAGCGTGCAATAAACCTGTCATAATGTTGTCTATTGGCATTCAGCCTTTTGTAGCAGGGCGTGGAGTCATCCCACAGATGACATCCTTACCTTGTCAGCTTGTTGACAGGGTTAACCTCTTTGGTCATGTGGACAAGACCTCTGATCAGAAGGTCCGTGGTTTGAATCCCATCATGGGACTCGGAAATTTTATGGCTGCTACACTTTGTTCCCATCTTACTGGTTTTGGCAGCATGAAGGCTCACTCAGAAATCAGTTTCTTGACAATAAAAACCAGTGACAATGTGTAGTTTTTGAAGACAGTGTTGAATGTACCTTCACATAAAGTTACCGTGACAAACACATGGATATGTTGAACATATGAACAGCCTTTCATTCAGTATCATTCACAAAATTATTATTTTAATAAAGGGTCCCTGCAGGCAGTATGAGGGCCCAGTAAAGTATGAAATGGTTTAGTTACTGTACATTTAGATAATTTTTACTTGCCTGGAATGAATCAATGATCATGTGGACAGTGGTCATGATTGATGGATAATAACAGACTCCCATAACTGTTATTGATGCGCTGTACATGCTGTAGGTACAATGAATATTTAAGAGAACTTAAACTTTATGGATAACATTAACAATTTTATATAAACTTTATATAATATCCAACTACATCATTGCAGCTATCAACATGATCAACGGTTTGATTTGTTATGATTTTGTTATCATCTTCTTATGTTTTTGCAATGCATTTTAACCTGGTTAATTGCATTTTAGTGACGTTTTACTGTTGATCCTTACACTGTTATCAAGCTTGAGTGTGCATATCAGTGTGCGTCCCTTGGGACGCAGTACTGTTTTTCTGCATCCATTCACTATATTTTTTACTTATCCTGCATTACTCCTTGATGCATCTACTGCTTACCCTACGACAAAAAGAGACAGCGCCTAGCGATGGTCCTTGAGGAAAGAGAAAAAGCAGTTTTTGTAGTACCATTGCCGCTGTCATGTGACCTTGATGTTATGTCACATCAAGGCATATTACCACTTGTCGCCGACCAAGAAGAACGTGTCTTGCTTGGCTCTCCAGTTTTTGGTTTAATTTAGCTTTTACTAAATTTGGACATTCTGGATGCACATTGTGCATTGTGTAGAAACCCTGACATCATGCTGAAATGACAACCTCAGTTTGAAGAAAAATCAAAAGTATTCTAGTCCTGCACCCAGGACTTCAGCAACCATATAAGGTCTTCAGCGACCCATGCTTGCCGTAAAAGGCAACTATGCTTGTAGTAAGAGGCGACTAACAGAATCAGGTGGTCAGGCTCACTGACTTGGTTGATGAATGTCATCATATCCCAATTGTGTGGATCAATGCTCATGATGTCAATCACTGGATTGTCTGGTCCAGACTCTATTATTTACAGACTTGAATATTGCTGAGTGCGGCGTTAAACAACAAACAACAACAACAACAACAACAACTAATCCATACAAGATAATATATTTCACAACGCGTTCGACTTGAAAGTACTGTTGTCAGATTCCAAAAGGCAGGTGTGTGTGGGTGGGTGTTATTGATCAGTAAGCAGCGCAACAATGATTGTGACACAGGTGTCTATATGGACCATTGTTCCTTCACCTATAGCTATATTACAGACTTCAGTACCTTTTACTTGAGCAGTGAACACCAAACAGGAAAGTAGGACACTATCCCACTTGGTAAACAAGTGACAACATTATTGAATGAATTTTGAAAATTAAATTTGTCAGACTACGGGTTCAATTTCATATGCATGGTATGTGCAGCCACTATGTTTTTGTCAATCTGCGACTTTAGCCTGAGTCTTGTAAAATTCTGTTAGGTCTAGTAGGCTCAGCTTATAATAGTCCACATAATAACACTGAATTCGACTGAAAATATGGCTAAGAGCCAAGTTTTGGCTTTTGTTTCAACAGGTTTTGGCACAGACTGTCTTGTCAGAATGGCTTCATTATGTGAAGATACGGGTCAGAATAGGTCTTCAGCACCCATGCTTGCCATAATTAGCCCCTATGCTTCTTGTAAGAGGTGACTAACAGGATCGGTGGTCAGGCTCGCTGACTTGGTTGATGCATGTCATTGTATCCCAATTGCGTGGATCGATGATCATGATGTCAATCAGTGGATTGTCTGGTCGCTGTCATATAGCTGGAATATTGCTGAGTGTGGCGTTAAACAACAAACAAACAAACAAACATTTGTAACGCCCTCTGTATAAGTCTCTCACAGAAGCAACTCATCCTATTCCCAAATCAAGTAAAAGATTTGTGTTTGTGTTTGTGATTCTGTGTTTGACAGCTCATGTCTTGGGTCAAATGTACTGAAATTGATGTTGAAGTTAAGGCAAACCTACTGCCCTAACACAAGTTCAGACAGCTGGGGTTGTATCCTCCCATACCATTGTGGCGTTAAATTTTAACTCACTCACTCATTAAACATGTTAAAAGGAGACTATGCTTGTCGTAAGAGGTGACTAATGGGATCGGGTGGTCAGGCTCACTGACTTGGTTGATGCGTGTCATCGATCCCAATTGCATGGATCGATGCTCATGATGTCAATCACTGGATTGTCAGGTCCAGACTTGATTATTTTCACACTGCCGCCATATAGCTGGAATATTGCTGAATGAGGCGTTAAACAACAAACAAACAAACACTGTACAGGGCTCTAAAAGTCAACTCGTCCGCTCATATTGACGAGTGGAAGCATGTGCAGGGTGAGAAAGAATGGACAAAACGCTTGTCCTATCGGGCGAGTACATTCATATGTACATTGCAATCGTATGAATTCATCTCAAATCGTTTTCAATAAAATATGCAGGATAATTCTGAACCTAACATACTTTTTTATTTGTTGTACGTTTGTAGTAGTAATAAAGAACTACATGTTGTTTATATCATAAATAGGCCGCATACTTGGCATGTTTCAGTTAAAGAAATAAACAAAAAAGTGTGATTGTTGGCACAGCAGGTCTAGAAACTACTTGTAAAAAGGATGCAATTTTATTTTATTGTTGTAGTGAGCAACTTGTTTTCTGATTCTCAGATGTCAAAGCAAAAGTGAATGTTTTTGCGAGGATAATGTCTGTTTGTAATCGGGAATTGTGGGGTTGACGAAAAAACCCATAAAAAATGAATTTATTTGAAAAACCCAGTGTGACTGAAAAACAAAACGAAATGCTCATGGCTTGCTTTGAATGTGCGGAGATGAATATGGGTGGGAGTGACTGTGAATTAGTTTGTGTTGTCTGTGGTAAATACCCTCAACTCAAAGGTTATTACCGAAAATGGTAAAGATAAACTGGGAACAAAACTGTATAAAATTTAATGGGACAAGAGAAAATATTGCAGGACGAGTACAAAATAATATTTAATTGCCAGGCAGGACAAGTTTGGTTTGAGAATTTTTTTCGAGCCCTCCTGTATCCTCCCTCCCAAAGGAGCTGAGAAAGCACATTGAACATGTTGAATGCACTGAGACTGGTTGACAGGGTTTTGGTGGTATATGGATTATATGCTATTTGGCATGGGTGTGGGATAATAATAATAATGATAATGATAATAATAATAATAATAATTTGTTATTGCTATTGTTATAAAAATGAATGTGCACAGGTATTCCCCCATTATCAAGAAAAAAAACGGACATAAATGCAAATTTGATATTTCACCATATTTGCTTTTGAGTGATAATTATTGTTGCTAAAATTTCAGTGTGAATGTTCATGCATATAATAGTTGATAATTATTAAACATAGTTTTTTTATTTGTAGTCATGGTAATATATTCAAACATTTTGTCTTTCAGCCGAGTCACACTGCCCGTTACTGTTGATGAGGTGAGTATTAGGTGCTGCAAAAGTTTGAAACTGCATTTTTGTTTCTAGGCAGGGGTTTATCTAGTCTGCAGGAAATATCAGACAGGAGTCCCAGATTGGAAATAAATATACCCCAGTTTGTGTTACAGCGTTAGAAACAAATAATTTTAGACCACTAGTCCATTTGTCCTTATAATGATAACATATATATTATGCATGCCTTGTGCATGTTGTGACCATAGCAACATCTAACAAAGTGGCTGACGACTATGAATGTAGTAAAAAAAGTATGGGTAACGTCTGATGTATGAGTCCATTTGGGTTATTTTTCTCCAGGTTCATAAAAAATTTCAGATATAAGAACACATACAGTATGTTGTAGACAAAATTGGGTGGACTGTAACTTGATAGATTGGGTAGACTGTAACTTGATAGATTGCGTGTCGTGGATGCTTTCAGTCACGGGTTTGTGTGGTCCGGACTTGATTATTTACAGGTGACTGTGATATAGGTGGAGTATTGCTGACTGTGGCATCAAACAACATTCACTCACTTCACTCCCCAGCTCAAAGTCTCTCCTGTGTTTCAGTACCAAGTGGCTCAGCTCTACTCTGTTGCGCAGGCCAGCAAAAACGAAACCGGGGGTGGGGAGGGCATTGAGGTTATTAAGAACGAACCCTTCTCTCCGTCAGAGGGGCAACAACCTCCAGACCCTCTTCTTGGTGGCGATTTCAACACTGGGCAATACACATATAAAATATACCACTTGCAGAGGTGAGTTAGATGCAGAGTGTTCCCACGGACATTCAGTGGCAGAATATCAATATGTGACTGGTCAGAGTCTAATCAGATTTCTTGTTAGAATTGACATTGGTAAGCGCAGGTAATATTTATCATGACCAACGTATATTAACGTTAAATCCTTTCAACAATGATGCTGAAAGACAAATTCTGGCTAACAAACTAATACGTTTTGGTACAGAATGGAGAAGTTTCCCAATACCTTGTACCTCTTGTGTGAGCTGTACCCAATGTATGCGTGAAGATCTGGATAAGAATAGGTCTTCAGACATCTATGCTTATCGTAAGAGGTGACTAATGGGATCTGGTGATCTGGCTCAGTGACTTGGTTTGATGCTTGTCCTCGCATCCTGTTGCATAGATCAATGCTCATGATGTCAATCACTTGATTGTCTGGTTCAGACTCAATGTCCCTGGAATATATTGTGCTTCTTTATTTCAGCAAAGTTCCAGGATATATTCGTTTATTGGCACCGAAAGGAAGTCTAGAAATACATGAAGAGGCATGGAATGCCTACCCCTACTGCAGGACAGTGATAACGGTGAGCAGTTCAGCCACATCCCGCCTAATATCTGCCCCATCACATGTAGCCTATTGGGCAGTGCCCTTCTAGGTCACCAGACTGAAGTGGGCACGGGTGGCCCAGTCGTCTAAACCGCCGTAAATCGCTGTTCAGACTTTAGAAACCTGTGGTAGTGGGTTCGAAGCGGCGTTAAACCCAACTAACTCACTCACCTGACTGAAAACCATCAGAAAGGTAAACATGGTTAAGAAGAAATGAAAAAAGAACCATCCTACATCAGAACTATCAATGTTCAAGACAAGGCTAAAACTCCACTTGATTCGACTGGGTTTTTGTAAAGCTCTGAACAATGAAGATGCTATTCAATTTAAATTTGTATTCATCAAGGTGCATGCAGGCATTGAAGGCCTTGAATTTTAAGGTCTCTCTTTAAAAGCCTTGTTTTTATTGTCAACTGTGAAAATCACCAAAACACACTGAAAGGCCTTGATTTCGTACAAAATAACATATACTTGTTAATAAAAAGTATTAAAATTAATGGACCCGTGAAGATCCGGGGTAGAATAGGTATTGAGCAACCCATTCTTGTCGTGAGAGGCGACTAACAGGATCGGGTGGTCAGGCTCGCTGACTTGGTTGATGCATGTCATCGCATCCCAATTGTGTAGATCAATGCTCATGATATCAATCACTGGATTTTCTGGTCCAGACTCGACTATTTACAGACTGTCGCTGGAATATTGCTGAGTGCGGCATTAAACAACAAACAAACAATTGTAGCAATATGTTATCACATCAATGATCAGGATTATAATTATAACAAAACAGCAAATGAGAATTATTGACAAACTTAATTTATTTTATTTGTTGATTGTGAAAATATATATCGTTGGAAAATTTGTTATTCAAACTGTTTTTTGCTTGAAAATAGCAGTTGAAAATCATGAAAAGGCCTTGAATTTTTGTGTTCCATATCTGTTTGAACCAGGTTGATTTATTTGTTGATGTAAACAGATGACTGAGTTCCTTGTTCCCTTTCCAGAATCCGGAGTACATGAAGGATTGTTTCCATATTGTGATAGAAAGTCTCCACTTACCGGACAGGGGAAATACAGCCAATGTGAGTATCTACAACAGCCACAGGTAGTGTTCATTCAACCTGGCAAAAATGTAGGCCCCTTTTGGCCGCACTAGTGACAAAATTGTGGGGTCATTTGAAATATGGTTGGATTATTTTCAAAGGGGGTGCCACAAACTACTTGGTGGTCCTTACGACTCACGATTTCACAATTTGCTAGGTTACTGTAATGAAACAGGAGGTTTAAAGGATTAATAAACGTTAAAGTGAATGTCGGTATTACAAAGCGAATGATTACTTTTGACGAGGTCAATATGTGAAAACAAAGACCCTTGGAGCTAACCCCCTTCAGCTTGGCCTGCGGGCCCCTTGGAACAGACCCCTTTGGCGGTCTGACTAGACCACCTCAGGGGTCAGGTCCTCAGGTCCTTGTTTTTCGGACCCGTGAAGATTCGGGGTAGAATAGGTCTTCGGCACACCATGCTTGCCGTAAAAGGTGACTGTGCTTTTCGTAAAAGGCGACTAAGATCGGGTGGTCAGGCCCGCTGACTTGGTTGATGCATGTCATCGATCCCAATTGCGTAGATCGATGCTCATGATATTAATCACTGGATTGTCTGGTCCAGACTCGATTATTTACAGACCGCCGTCATATAGCTGGAATATTGCTGAGTGCGGCGTTAAACAACAAACCAACCAACCAACCTTGTTTTTCGCATATTGACCTTGTCAAAAGTAATTAGCTGTATAATATTTTGGTTCTCTTGGCTTGCCGTTTCACTTGCTTTTGGTTTGCTGATCACTATGAATTCATATGAATGGCAACTGTTAGGTTAGGAAGAAAGGAAGCATCATATGTCCTGACTTTTCAGGTATTATTGGGATATATCTACATGTGACGATCATCTCATTGGAATAAATAAATACCTAAGGGACCGGTCAGGGTGTGGTCACAAAATTATTTTTCATGACTTTCCCTGAAAAGACACGTTATATTTTATTAAAAATAGTCCAGTTATACATGACCTTCCCTGAACGTGTATGCTGAATGAGGAGCAGTCCCTAAGATATGACTGATACCTTAGCGGTAGAAGGTACGAGAACATGTTATTCGTCTCTAGAAACTAATTGAAAGTCAAATAACTAGTGCCTTAGAACTGTTACCATGGTTACAAAACATGTCTTAAGATTATAAATTTTGGTTTCTGTATTTCGATCTGAGTATGCCATTTTAAAACAAAAGCATATCTTTCTTTGCAAAATGAACACTGGATAACATTTTTTAAAAAGGCCATAATAAATGAGGAAATATGAAACATGTGCTTTACTATGTTCTAAATGTGTGTTTAACGCTTCGTTAACAGGGGCGGTTGGGTAGCCTAGTGGTTAAAGCGTTGCTCGTCACGCCAAAGACCCGGGTTCGATTCCCGACATGGGTACAATGTGTGAAGCCCATTTCTGGTTTCCTCGCCGTGATATTGCCTGAATATTTGCAAAAGCGGCGTAAAACCATACTCACTCACTCACTCATTCACTCACTCTTCGTTAACAGGCCCATCGACTGAGTCCTGAGGAACTTAAGCACTTGGATGTCTACAATATTGATATAACAGACAAGGTTTCCAATTCGGTAAGGACATAATCATCTTCAGGAAAGTAGCCATGGTTGTGGGTAGGGACTCCCATGGAGAATATGTCCCAAGCTGTGCTGGGATGAACAATCTGACTAAGATCAGGATTATGTTCAATTAGGTCCCTACAACCGATGCTGGTCATGAGGGGTGACTAAATGGATTGGGTGGCCAGAGTTAGTGACTTTGTTGGACGTGTGTCATTGTACCCTGATGCATTTATCCCTGCTCATAATATCAGGCACTGGATAATATCAGGCCCTGGATAATATCAGGCACTGGATAGTCTGACCCACACTTCATTCTTTACTGGCTACCATCATATAGCTGGAATGTTGCTGAGTGCAGCATAAAAAAACAAGCAAACATGCTGCTGGAATATAGCTGGAAATTTCTTAGTGCGGCATAAAACAACAAACAAACATGCTGCTGGAATATTGCTGAGTGCGGCATAAAACAACAAGCAAACATGCTGCTGGAATATTGCTGAGTGCGACATAAAACAACAAGCAAACATGCTGCTGGAATATTGCTGAGTGCGGCATAAAACAACAAACAAACATGCTGCTGGAATATTGCTGAGTGCGGCATAAAACAACAAGCAAACATGCTGCTGGAATATAGCTGGAATATTGCTGAGTGCGGCATAAAACAACAAACAAACAAACATGCTGGAATATTGCTGAGTGCGGCATAAAACAACAAGCAAACATGCTGCTGGAATATAGCTGGAATATTGCTGAGTGCGGCATAAAACAACAAACAAACATGCTGCTGGAATATTGCTGAGTGCGGCATAAAACAACAAGCAAACATGCTGCTGGAATATAGCTGGAATATTGCTGAGTACGGCATAAAACAACAAGCAAACATGCTGCTGGAATATTGCTGAGTGCGGCATAAAACAACAAGCAAACATGCTGCTGGAATATTGCTGAGTGCGGCATAAAACAACAAACATGCTGCTGGAATATTGCTGAGTGCGGCATAAAACAACAATCAAACATGCTGCTGGAATATAGCTGGAATATTGCTGAGTGCGGCATAAAACAACAAGCAAACATGCTGCTGGAATATTGCTGAAATATTGCTGAATGCGGCATAAAACAACAAGCAAACATGCTGCTGGAATATAGCTGGAATATCGCTAAGGGGGTGTGGGTGGGGTGGGTTATCTCAAAACCTAAGGAATTTAGTTTTTCTCCAACATTGAACTTTAAAACTGGTCCCTACACCTTTTTCCTTTTTGTTTGCAGGACTACAAGAAATCCACTGATCCCAAGTTATTCAAAAGTCAGAAGACTGGGAGAGGCCCATTAGATGCTCCCAACTGGCAGGTAGGGAGGCCATTACAATTGGGGGAGGGGGGAGGGCCACCATGTCCCAGTGCCATGATTTGGACTGCCTCCGTGGTCTAGTGGATAGAGCGTCTGCCAGGAGAGCAGAAGGTCGTGGGCTCGATCCCTGGCAGTATCTTAGTAAAAGATGGTACTTGATGTTCCCTGCCTGACTTTGGGCATTTATAGGCTAAAACAAGGACTAGTCAGCGAGGAGTCTGTATAGTGTGCCAGAGTGGGGTATTTATCTTAAACTGTGACATGGTATCTCATTGGACTAGCACAATAAAGTTGGTATTCGTCCGGACTAGTATAAACAGACACACATATTTCAGACATCACCTCATTTCAACTGATCCTCACCTCACCTACCTCACCTATAATTTGGCTAGGTTAGGGGTTGTTTTATGTGATCAATAACATTGAATGATTTTGGACGGAGAGATAGACATGATTCAGGTGCATATGCCATGTGAAAACATAAAAAACTTATTAAAGCTGGTGAAAACATTTTCAGTCAGAGCTTTTTTGCAAGGTTTGTCAGTTTGTTGTTAAAATCATATCTATGTATCACTAAACAAAGATCTGAGGACATCCCATTATGGGTCACGTCAGAACGACCTTTTGCGGACCGACCACTGAAATGACTAACAAGAAGTCGACACCAGCCAATTAGAAAGCAGCTTTCTCGAGCTTTACGGCACTCGTTTCAACCTGGCGACTTCCATTTGAGACTACGCTTGAAAAATATGTTATCATAGTTCTCGATTAAATTTTGAAAACTGAACAACCGAACATTCCGGTATGTCTAATATATGGTTGAGATTGTATGGCAGTGCTTTCCACGTACTGTGCAACGCCTCCTCCGGCTGATATCCAATCCCAAATCTGCATGATGGCAGTAAAAAATCACAAATTGGAATAACAAATCTCCCAATCGAGATTTGTATCAATAACTAATATTATGGCTTTGTAAAACTGACTTGCACTTCATTGATCAATTTGAGCAAAATAGCATATTTTTAAACTTATCCTATCTCACAATATGCATTTTTTCTTTCCTCTTTGTTCCTATGTGGAAACATGCTTGAACAGAGATTCCGGCCACTAAAATACAAATATACTACACAATTTCTTATAACATTTTCAATTTTTGCCTAAATTGCCTGCCAAGGGCACTTAGTTTTGAATCCTTGATGAAACCCTGCCCTTACCTTGCACTAATATAAGGAATTTCTTGATAGTAGTTTTGTTTCAACATTGCTGATGTTTTCTGAATATTTGTTTTGACAGGAAAAAGTTGACCCAGTGATGTGTGCATATAAACTGGTTCGAGCCAAATTCAAGTGGTTTGGTCTGCAGTCTAGAGTTGAAAAATTCATCATGAAGGTAAGATTAAGAGTCCTGTTTTAAGATAGTATGTCTGCTACTAGGGACGAGTCCGAATTTACTACCCGGGTACCCAACCCCCTATTACCCGACCCTACCCGGGTACCCACTGTAGGTCTCAAGAGTTGGGAACACAATGTCTAATTGGGAATAGTTTAACTGTAGCCCTGGCAAAAACTGTTTAGATACATGTATGAAACCGGAGACAATGTAATAGATATATGGTCTCTTATGAAACGATCGAATCATGCGTTCACTGAAGTTGACTGAAGCTTTATCTTTACTCAAACATGTATAAGTCAAAAGGAATGTGTACATCATCATAAAGAAATGGGAACATTAGCGACTTGTAGTGTAAAAACTGTGCAATAGTGAGTTTTTGTCATTAAACAATATGTCACTATCCACGGGTTTGGGTAGTACTTTGGGTACCCGGGTCCTACTCAGGACCAACCCGACCCGGGTACCCGAGTTACCCGTCCAAGCCCTATCTGCTTCTGTAGGACTTTCTGTAGGATACAGTGTAAAGTGCATGCCTCATGGTAGGTACAACTTTCCAGAGTTGGAAAGATCGTAACATTGTTAATGCAGGTATCGTATTCAAAACATCGAAAATGGCGCATAAATAGAGATCATAATGTGATCTTGTTTGTCATTCTGATTTTATTAAATGAGGTGGCACAATTCTTTTATTTCCCGAGCAAGGGTAATACATGAATTCTTATGAGTTTCCCTGCCATGTTTCTGGTCATGATCTCAAATGAGATCGAAAATTGATGTTATGGCCTTTGCTCCGTGATTTACAACTTATTGCATACTACGTGAAATGGGGACAAGTTTTCTCAGAAACTACTAAATATACATGAATGAAATTATCTAAGAGATACTTGTCAAGACCGAGTTCGAAAATTGGTCCCGTCAATTAATTTTTTTTTACAGAGTTATGGCCCTTGCCCTGTGTTTTTCAACTTGTTGCATAGTGTGTGCAATGGGGACAAGTTTTCTCAGAAACTTTGAAGTCAAATGAATGAAAGTTTGCATGCTTATCTAAGAGATACTTGTCAAGGCTGAGTTCGAAAATTGGTCATTACAGGGGGCACAGGTGGCCCAGTCATCTACGGCGCCGCAATTTGCTGTGAAACCTATGATTGTGGATTTGAATCCCAGTTCACCCAGATTATGTTTCTAGGTTTGTCAGCACCATACCTGTGCTCGAGGGTTTTACTGAAGTGGTAAACGTCTGAGACCTGCATCACTTCGGGCTTTCTTCCCACATTAAGCTGACACGCCGCGATATAAATGTAATACTGTTAAAAGCGGCGTTAAACCAAACTGACTCACTCACTATTTGTTTACAGAGTTACAGCCCTTAGTCCATGTTATTTTTCTTTGTGCATAGTGTGTGTAATGGGGACAAGTCTACTAGAATGAAAGTTTGCAAGCTTGTCTAAGAGATACTTGTCAAGAGTGGATTTATAAATAGGTCCCGTCAATTAATTGTCTTACCAAGTTAGGACCTTCAATCCATGTTATTTGTGCAATGGGGTCATGTTTTCTCAGAAACAACTGAAGTTAGCTTTTCTAAGAGATACTTATCACGACTGAGTTATTTTTTCCAGAGAAACTGCCTTTTTTGTGCATTATTTTCACATTTATTTATTTTTTCTGCTGACAAAAAGTGGCCCAAGTGCCTTTCTCTTCTTAAGGCGTTATGGGGCTCTTTTTTTATAGTTTATATCCACTACTATATGAACAAACAAGACTTCCAATGTGCCTAATGGCGGGGAGTAGTGATAACACTGTTTTCTTGTTTCAAAATCGTTTTGGGCTCCATTTTAGAAAAAATGCAGTGATCACAACTGCCCTCTTAGAAAAACACAATTATTGAATGACGTCAACAATCTTCAGCTATGACCTCGTTTCTGGTGTGAAGTCATTACAACCTTATGACACAAGTATATTTGAATGCTGTCGGGATGACATAAACAATACAATGGTTCCCGTGAAGTGATATTTGCACAAGTGCACATACAATTTTTTATGCTTCTTTGGTTGGTAAATGAGGTTAATTTGCACTTTAGTCCTGTCGATCAATTTCAAAGAAATGTTTGGATGACTCAACATGACTGAAACTTGTTCTACTTCCAGCAAGAGCAGCGTTTGTTTACCAATTTCCACCGAGAGGTGTTCTGCTGGATGGATCAGTGGTATGGGTTGACAATGAAGGACATTCGGGCTATTGAAGATAAGACCAAGGAAGAGCTTGATCAGGTGGGTTCATACCAATGTTCCTGTGACTTCACATTGACTGATGGTTGTATGGACTGACGGTAATGGAAATTACGTACTGGCCCTGGCCCACAAAGCAATTTTAGCGCTGAGACGATCGTAACTCCCATTCTTTAACACTGACTTGCGACATGTAACAAATGTTATATTTGGGATAACACTTCCCTAGTAAAGTACAATTTTTTTAACTTATCCTGCATTACTCCGTTTTGCATTTGCTGCTGTTTTAGACAGAGAGACAAACTGTGTGAGATCCAGCTGCTGAAGAATGTTTCTAGGTTTGTCAGCACCGTGCTCGTGGGTTTTACAGAAGTGGTAAACGTCCGAGACCTGCATCAGTTAGGGCATTAAGCACATTAAGCTGACACGCCGTGATATAACTGGAATACTGTTAAAAGCGGTGTTAAATCCAACTCACTCACTCACTAATATTGTGCATATAATAATATTCAAGTGACAACAGAGTAATATTGTTGTGTTTTTATTTTTAGAGTCGCAGAACGGGTGATGTACGTGGCATGTCAGCAAATGAAAATTGAAGATGGTCATGCTTAGCAAGTTCTCCCATCGTCCAAGTGCTGCAAGAGAGACACATTGTCACACCAATCACAGAGCATAGTCTTTACTCAACTACAAACCATTTTAGTCTTTTGTTATTTAATATTTCTTTTGTTTTTACATCCTGTTTGTGTGACGTTAACAGGCTTTACTTGTTGCTCTGTTTTCACGAAGCTGCTGCCAGTAACCAGGGCAAATAAAACAATGTTTTACGAATAATTACTTGACCACTCTTTACACTGTGATCAAGAATCAATACTGAATGAAATTTAAGAACTGATATTTCACCCCATAGTAAATTGACAAATTAGAAAAAATAATTGAAGCAAGAAGTGTTTTGAACTTTAAATTTTGACAAATACAAAATAAATTATGCAAGATTGAAATAAAAATTTAAAATTTAAAAATGTGATTAGTACAAGTGAAAGGATTTGCTGAAGTTTACCCAAGTTTCATTCCAATAATGATCATAGTAATGACAGGTTGTAATGACAGGTTGTAATGACAAGTTGTAATGACAAGTTGTAATGACAGGTCGTAAGTACAAGTCGTAATGACAGGTCATATAACAGGTCGTAATGACAAGTCAGAATGACAGGTCGTAATGGCAAGTCGTAATGACAGGTCGTAATGGCAAGTCATAATGACAGGTCGTAATGACAGGTCGTAATGGCAAGTCGTAATGACAGGTCGTAATGGCAAGTCGTAATGACAAGTCAAGTACTATGAACATGAATCAGAAATTACTGAAATCTTTTAGAAACTTGTGTACAAATTTAACACTTACTTAGACTTGCTGCCTATAACCTATTATAATATCAGTAATTGATGTAGCATATATGTGATTCTTTTCAGCTGATGGTAATTGCCAATCAGTGACGGCCTAGCGCTTTGTTTAGTTCTTTTGAGTATAATCATGATGAGAATATATGTTGAGAATCACGACCACGTGGGTTAAAACTTAAAAGCACTTTTATAGTAAGTGCTAGAACGTAACGTAGATGAGGCCTAGCATATACCAAGTACTTGCAAATATCATGGTCTAAATTTGCACCTATTTATTTATAGCCATTGCTCTGCGATAATAAACAATAGGGGTGTCACGATATGCCTACCCCACTTGTCGATTACGTATCACGATACTGGAGTCACTATATAGTATGTATGACGATACTTATTTTTGTACCATTTTACCTTCTCTATTCATGTATTCCAGGTAAAGAGAATGGTATCATCCTGTCTCTATTTAGCTGGCATGACTGGTTTATTTGTGACTCATTCTTCGAGTGTTATGTCAGATTTAACATTTTGTTTCGCAATAGTTTGTAAGGTAATGCTTACTTAAGCATTTCTCAAGCTGCTTTTTACAAGACTTTGTTAAGATTTTTGGACATTGATACAGCCTTAAATATGGACTGATACATGGGTAGGCTTATCGTGTATTGTATCGTCAGGTGTAAATTTGCGATATATAGGCGAGTCGTGACATCCCTAACATACCACAAATGATAGGCATGTCTCCCTTAACATAGGTTATGGCACTGAATATTACTGATATGTGTGCACTAAGATATGTATGTAAATTTGTATGTACTTGCTGTGTCCAGTGTTTGCAGAGATATCCATTGACATTCGTCCACCGATTCAGAACAAGACTATGTTGTAGGTGACCTGTACAGAAGTAGACTCATTGGATCCAATATCTTGATCACAAACTCGCATGGTGATTGGTTTGGTGCAAAACACTAAGACAATTAAGGAAATCTTTCATTGGAGTCTTAGCCGAATTTGTTTAGGTATGCTGTTAGGCCAAACACTAAGGTTTATTTTTTAGGCAGTGGCTTTTCATGAAGGGGGTTGGAGGTTGAGGTTATTTTTGTAGTGTGAATTAAACCTAAGGTCAGAAATTTAGTCACTTTCAAGCAAAGATGTGTTAACTTTATAATGATGATTATGTTTAATGAATTATCTGTAATAGAAAGTGTTAAACTAACTTTTCAAGATTATTAATGCCTAAACCTTATGAAGCTTACTAACAATACCCAATGTTCATAGGCTTTTGATGAACGCCATGTTTTTGTTGACACCTAGCTTCAATGAGATGTTATTGGGCTCTAAGCAAGTCTATTTGTTAGGATTATCGGGGCTAGAACTCATTCATGCAAATAATTGATTATGTGCGAGAAACAAGGATTCACCATGGAAAGTGTTCATCAGTCTCATTGCCTTACAGTTCGAACCATTTTTGGAAGTGATCACAATGGATTATTTGTTCCTGTATAACCTGTAAATGCTGACAATGAATGGACCGTTTCAAGTACTTGTAACTCCTGTACCGTGTATGTCGGATAGACTATTTATGTATAGATAAATATGATGGACTAAGCATCCTGTGTGTATGTCAGGAGAGGACATGGAGGAACAGAGGCATCGTAGCTTGCTGTGCAGAGTTGCGTCCCTTTGCTGTACCAGGATCTTTTCGAAATTTCCTATTGTGATCCCTGTATCAATATCACACCTGTGTTTGTGGGTTTCAACGAAATGTTTAACGTCTACGACCTACATCATTTCGAGCTCCCACATTAAGGTCACAGTCGATGATATAGCTGTAATATGTTCTGAGTGGTGTTAAACCAGTGTCACTCACCCACTCCTTGTGTTCTGTGAAGTTTCTGTTGATCATTAACAACACAAGTATCATCGAGGTTTTCTGTTAGCCCACTCATGACAAACCAAATAGTATTTTCCTAATAACTCCATACTAAGGGTTCCAACAGGTAGACTAATAGTGAAAACATTCATACTTCACGCTGGGTACAGTGTGTGACCATTTATTGTGTCCCCTGCCGTGTTATTGCTGGAATATGCTAAAAGCGGCGTCAAACCAAAGTTGCTTAGATAAAGCTGATGTTACATGAAGCAAATATACCCCTGTAAGTATCAGAGCACCGTTTCACAAACGGTCTTGGCGCTATGATGATTGTAACTCCCATACCTTAACATAGACTTACGACAGTCCAAGCGTTGAAATCGCTTTGGACAGGGCCGTGGGTGCCGTTATACAAAGTGATGTTAGCGCTAAGATCATCGTAACTCCCATAACTTAACATAGACTTACGACAGTCCTAGCATTATGGTTGTTTTGTACAACACCCTGGTTTTGATATTGTCGTATGAAGAACAGACTTGTGTCATTTCTTAAGCTGCAAAGGAAACGGATGACATATTTATTGTAATTCCATGGTCATAGCTGCAGAGTAGATGTTGACCCTGGGCCAGGCAGGATTACAAGTTGTAGGAGCTGACTAGGTTTGTCAAGACTAAATGTCATAACCTGTAATGTATCCTAATGAATAAATGATATGGACCATTTTCTGGCTTCCGGTAACTTTGTGTTTGATACCTTTATATATGTGGAGTCTGGGATGATGACATTTAAGTGCGGATGTACTTAAAACATCAGCTACTGGATGTGTCAATGTCTGTGTTTGAAATTGGTAAACGAATGTTAGCCCTGTCACACTGGAGAAATACAGTCCAGTGATGCCAATAAAATTGGTGTATTTGTTGATGGCTGCCTTGAACAAAGGTATGTGTCGAATTGCCATCCAATCAAATTACAGTCCTGTGAAAAGATGCGACTGATGGACAAATCGGTGGCACAGGCAGCACAGTCATCTAAGGCGCTGCAATTCACTGTGCAGAGTTGGCTCCCTTGGGCACACCAGAAACCTATGACCATGGGTTATAATCCCTGTTGGCCTGTTAAGATTCTAGGTTTGTGCGCACCATACCTTGCTCGTGGGTTTCACGAAAGTGGGAAATATCTGAAACATGCATCACTTCAGGCTTTTCTCCCATATTATTCTGACACATGATATGACTGTAATACTGATCAAAGTTGTTCAGCCAACTCACTTACTCCAAGATGAAACTATGGTAACAAATGTGTCCAAGGTGTTCATCATAACAGAATAGAGGTACTGCACCCGTGATAGCCTGAGAGGCTTGTCTGTATGTGGTTCTTGACTTGTCCCAGGACTACATGTTGAAGGCATGTCCCACACGTTTGACTGATAGGGTTGTACAGTAGTTTTGTTCAGCTTTTGATTGTACATTCCACGTATTGGATTTGTGTAGTCATTGAATTAAACAGGGGGCACAAGGCGCCGCGATTCGCCGTGCAGAGTTGCGTTCCTTGGGCAAGCCAGAAACCTGTGATTGTTGGTTCAAATTCCGGTTTGCCCAGATTATGTTTCTAGGTTTGTCAGCACCATACCCGTGCTCGTGGGTTTCAACGAAGTGGTAAACGTTTGACACCCGCATCACTTTGGGCTTTCCTCCCACATTAAGCTGACACGCTGTGATATAACTGGAATACTGTTAAAAGCGGCGTTAAACCCAACTCGCTTGCTCGCTCACTCACTCACTCACTCACTCACTCACTCACATTGAATTCAACAGTAAGAACTCTGATCTCACTGATGTAGTTGTGGAAACAGCTGACGTTCCCTCTATAGGTCATCCTTTTTGATTTTCAATCATTTCTTATTCTGTAAATTTTGTTTGTATTTTAGAGATTTCTTTATTTCATTATTTAATCCGTTTTGTATTTAACATGCCGATAAATTGATCTCAGGTAATGTTGACCACCGTCTCATCTGACTCTGTTGTCCTGGATTTCGTTTCCTTTGTGAGTTGATAATGTTCCTTGGTTTGTCAGCACTGTACCTCTGCTCTAGGATTCACCAATGTTGTAAATGTCGAAGATCTGCTTCATATCGGCGTTTCCTCCCACATTAAGCTGACACGCTGTGATATAACTGAGAGACTGTTCACAGCGGTGTTAAACCCAACTCACTTTGTAAGATGATGTTGACCCAATGTTCAGGCGTTTGCATTACGAAGGGAGGTAACTCTTTCAATCTTACTCCATCGGGCTGCCTTTGTAACAGTCCTACACAATGTGAAATGTTGCAGAAATGGTCAATCACACAACAAGATTGGAAAACATCTTGTGACATTGAATATGTAGTGTAGTCCTTTGAAAGTTCTTTAGAGCTACACAGAGAGGTTAGAAATTATACTGAGATTGTTTTTGAGAAAATGCAATGTTAATATACATACAGCAATCATTCACTGAGGTAGAGTTTGATAGTTTGTATTGTATTTCTGTTTTTCCGAATGTTATGCCTGTGATTAGAACCGACTTTTTTATTTCCAGTTTTATGCATTTTTGTGTAAAAAACCTGGTAGGCTCCAAATATCTATTGTAAATTGAACTGACTTTACCATGGCAGTGTCATAAGGACATGTGGTAAATAAATCTGTTGACAATACTCTAAACAAAACAACACTTATGAGAAGCTGGGAATTCCAACCAATATATTTATACCTTATTACCAACAGAGCACTGATAAGAATTTTTCATTTTTATGAATATTCAGACCCCAAGCTCTCCGGTCAGGAATAGAAATATTATCAAAAGACACTTCACATTTTGGTTTTTTATTTTCAGTCTGCATGGGTTGCCAGGTTTGTTAAGACTGTTCTGATGGTCTAGAAAAAAATAAATTAAGATTTGTTTTTTCTAACTTTACAATTTCTTAAGGTCAGAGGGAATCTATGAACCATATTTAAAGGAAAGTCTCGCCTTAAGTGATTTGACAAATATTTGAACTATTCAGAAGTTGGTACCGGTATTACAGTTTCTTGTCAACAGTCCTAGAATTGACTGTTAAATGCAGCCAAACTGTTCAAATCCTGGTTGAACTGAACACCATTCGTTAGGGCTGAAACGCTTTGTACTACAGTGTATCATACTCAGTGATACATGATACAGTGTCTCATTAGCATACCTTATTCGATGTAATAAGCGCCCAGGGCGCTCTCAAAATTAGTGAATAAATAAGTACATTGATCAATCGGAAGGGGGGCTAATTGGGATTGTTCACTAGCTAATATCTTAGCAAATGTCGCAGTGGGCACTTATTGGAGCGGGGGGTGGGGTCGGGTTAAAGCATTCGCTCGTCACGCTGAAGACCCGGGTTCGATTCCCGACATGGATACAATGTGTGAAGCCCATTTCTGGTGTCCCCAGCCGTGATATTGCTGGAATGTTGCTAAAAGCGGCGTTAATGATACTCACTATTGGAGTGGGGCGCTTATTGCGTCAAATACTGTATGTTACTGAAAGTCAAGTGAACTTAGTCCTGTCTGTCAGCTTTGATCTCCTTTGGAATGTGAAAATGCAAAAGGCAGAATGGTTTCAATCACATTCAGCCGGATACAATGAACGTAATTGTTTTACAAATACACACACGTGTACATCGACTTGGAATTAAATTTCATCAGTTTATTTGTAACTTTATTTGCTTTAACGCGCTTTAACACGCTTTCAGGGGAAAATTCTTCATACATTTTTGGGAGCCATGGTTTACCCCGCGGTGCATCTGGAGTAGCGATACATCGAGGAGCGTTAAGTCGAGGGACCACTGTATAAAGAAAATGAAAAAAGATATTTTCATGAAATGTAACCACAGACTAGTGTGTAGTAACACATGTCGTATTGTGATTGGTGCTTTTCTAAGCCTGTCCTGATTGTTTTATTCATTGTCCAGTGAATGTACAAGTATATGAAAGGATTGAGTTACTGGGTCATACAGTCAAACACTGCATGTTGTGTTGGAATTGAAGGGGCCTATGTAAATACTTCAAGTTATCCGAGGTTCGACACAACCGAAAATGATGAATAAAGAAGGAATACCCAGGGACCAAGCTTTTACTTCAAGACAACTGAAAGTTCGACACATCAAAGTTTGGCACAACAGTGTGTGACTGTATTCCCCATAAGTATCATGAAAGGGAAGTGTTCAATGCGCTTTACAAAAGAGCTGGGACAGGTAACTCGGGTCCCCGGGTCCCCGGGTCCCCGGGTCGGGTGGGTACTGAGTAGGACCTGGGTACCCACAGGACTACCCGGACCCGTGCTTATTCATGTGATATTTTGTTTAATGACAAAAATTATCAAGAACTCTATGGTTACACTACAAGTCACTAATGTCCACATTTCTTTCTGACTATGCACCCTTTCGTTCTGACCTTTCATATGGTTGAATAAAGATATAACTTAAGACAACTTCAGTGTTTGCATGACCAGGGGCCCGTTCCACAATGCGATCTTAGTGCTATGATTGTTGTAAGCCTATATTTAAGTATGGGAGTTACAATCTGAATCATCTTAGCGCTAAGATGTATCTAAATGCGTTTTGCAAGTGTTGTAAAAATATTCCCAATCGAATATTTTGTATCTCTTGGGACCTACAGTGTGTACCTGGGTAGGGTTGGGTAATAGGGGGGTGGGTACCCGGGTAGTAGATTTGGACTTGTCCCAGCCCTGCTTTACAAGTATGACGGTGAATGTGCACAACTGCTTTGGCTAGTGTAGAACTTGTATGGTAGATGTGGATGGTCTTGATGTATTGGACTCCTGTGTTGGGCTCTGGTACTCTGTGTTGGGGAACTGAAAGCTTAGGCCCATGATATTAGTATCTGGTCACGGTTAATTCAATCATGGGGTTGATGAGTTACTGTAATAGCTCTGAACGTAAGATGAATTTGTTTGTTATATGTTAGTTTTACTAACCAATGACATTGATTTGTGTAGCTGAACATACTTTTTCATGGGCATTAAATTGTTGTTAAAATTGATATATATTTTTAAAAAGAGGTTAATATTTACTGTATTTGTAGATGATTTTTGTAGTCAGGCCATTAAGTCCAAAATATGAAACTTATTTCATTTTTTTTCAGATTGTAGATTTTGCTCTGGGCTATTGAATATTTAATTTATTAATTATCTTAAATAAACATATTTTGTTTCTGGTTAGCAAAATTGATGATACTTTGTTTTGCTATTTTTGTCAGTGAGGTAAATAGAAAGTTCACTTGCCCTAATTATATGTAACATACTGTGTATGTACCACAGTTCTGGAATAGGAGCAATGAAATAGATGGGACAAAAGTGAGAAATGAGAGACTTTGCAACCTGTAGTCTCACCTCTAGCTGGGACATGTCACCCTGTACAGTGAAACCTTCTTAATCTGGACACAGCCATGCTGAGTGAAATCATCCAGATTAACAGATTTCAGAATGAATTTATCATAACATAGTTCAGCGTAATGTTACTTTGTATTTAAGTAGGCATTCTTGACGATATTGTACAACTGGTGGGGTGTTTGGAAAAAACAGGGTCCAAATTACCAAGGTTGCACTGTACAGTTTTTGTGTTTATGTAGTACATATAAATACTTGTTTAATTTCCAGCTAATTGACAGCTCAAGCATTTTTCACCTATAAGAAGTTTTATCAT